TTCTGCTTTTTGAAGATTCTGTTTGATTATCAATCACGAGGAAGTTTGTGTCCTGTTGCATTCGTTTGTGATAGAGCAATGCGTAAAACAACAGCGCAGGAAGCTCTGACGTTTTTGGCCTTGTTCGCAAAAATAACCTATTTGTTCCTACAAAGTTCTGTTGGGAATTCAATCTCTATGAACTCGTCAAAGGCCTCTTCGTGGTTTCATGAGTTGGTCTCCAAATAAAGTGTAGATATGTTAGAAAAGCGTGGCTTACATTCGGAGTTGGATGGATGTGTATGGCGACGATGCTTGTGCGCTTCTACAGTACATCTTATCAAAAGCATGAGAAAGACCCACAGTCGAAGCGCTCCGCTCTCCATTTCGTTGGTGGTAATTATAGCTGATTTTTCTGAAATTTCACAGCTCAATCTGCCAATAAAAAGCGTGCGTATGTGTGTGAATCATAGTGTCAGCAAAACAGTAAGATAAAGGCTGAGAAGGAAACCGCTTAGATCTACACTTACGAATTTTCAGCAAAAATCAGCAAAATATTGTGCAAAGCTTTTGAAGATAAGCTGTTCCTTTTCCATCAACTGCATGGTAGAGAAAAAAGCATTTTCGGATCGTTTAATTGGGCCGAAACAGCGTGAAGGAGAGGAGCACAATTTTTTCATGTACTTTCTACTAGTCCTATTATTTAGCACACGAATACACCCAAAGGGGGGAAATAAACGAAACATGTAATAATAAAAAGAGAATTAACGGATCGATTGAGGCTGCTCTACAGATATCCATGTCATTTTGAAGTAAACGTTGTGATTAAAATTGTAATGAATCATGATATCAATCCGACTCGTAGGCACCCTGACAAGTGGAAGACCTACTTTTAGTTAACAACATATTTTGAATACTATAGGACAGCCAAATAATGCAAAATGAGGAAATGAAGAAAAGTGATGTTGTGGCAGCATCCTTGCCGCCTCTCTTCAACACAAAGCGCATGAACACTTTTTGCAAATTTTTATTAGGGGCGCATGCACGCATTAGCGTTCGGAGAACGCACACTTTCAGGCTGAATTCGCCATGTCAACGAAAATCTCTGCATTTTCGGATCACAAAACAAACACATGTACCAATCGAAGAACGACCACTCGTGATGCTTAGACTTCTGCAATAAAGCTCTTGTGGTCTTGTCCTTAGACCTTGGATAAGATTGATGATAATCAATAAGTCGTAGTTGGTATAACAGTAATCAGTTGTATGGATAAGGCAAGCGTACAATTTCTCAGATAATAGCTAAA